TGTGTGTGTGTGTGTGTGTGTGTGTGTGCGTGCGTGCGTGCGTGCGTGCGTGCGTGTGCAGACAGAAGAGAAGTGCAGCTTGCCTGAAATTAAGTTTCCATCTGGCCCTCACAGTGTTGCTTTTTCTCACTAATTTCTCAACATGCAAAGGACCAACTGGGGCCATGAACTGTGTCATTTCCATTTACTTTTATTTATATAGCAACAGTTCACAACAGTGGCCATCTCAAGAGGCCTTATAATGTGACTCTATAATATTATGTGACTCTATAATATTAAGATCTCCCTTCCTCTTTAACAGAACCAAGCTCACAAAGGAGGAAGTCACATGCCACGACTGGTTGGGGTGTGAGGAGAAAGAGAGAGAGGCCACAAACAACAAACAGAACAAAACACAAACTTAGGGAGAAAGAAAAGATGGGGAGAGCTTGAGAAATCTTCAGTGCATCATGGGAAGTATGCCAGCAACTTGAACCCTAAGCAGCATAAATTAGAGCTGGTTCAGGGTAAACAAATCCAATCCTAATTAAGCTTTATCAAAAAGGAAAGACTGGAGCCTAATCTTAAAAGAAGAAAGAGTGTCTGTCTCCTGAACCCAAACTGTGAGCTGGTGCCAGATTAGAGGGGCACGGTAGCTGAAGAAGTGTTCAATGCCCATTGCACTTATGGGGAATTCTTAAAATATATCTTTGATATCCTTGAATTGCCTCATTAACTGACAGCTGGGATATGCTCCAGAATAGCTAGATGCATGGATATAGCAAAGCAAAGCAGCAGTTATCCCCCCCAATGGTCAGATGGTCTACAAGCAGAGCTTGGCGATAGTGGTGGTATAGCCAGAAGCCAGCTCGGGGAAGTGTGGAAATGTGCTGCAACTCAAAGACAAGATGAGCACAGAGTTTTACTTAGTTTGAGGTTTATTCTGATTACACCTGTTTGCAGAGACTTGAAAGATTCATGAGAGTGATACTACAGAAGTCCTACAGGACATTTCTCTTTCCAATACAACTGTGAGCACGAGTCCAACAGTTTAAATGTAAATCAATTCCAGAGCTGATCTATACAATGTGGTTTCCACTATACTGATCAATCCTGTTTACTGCAGTTGTTCCATTACCGTCCAATATTCGACAGTAAAAAAAAATCTGTCCTAATAAATCATGGTAGGCCATATTGATTGAGTCTGATTGTTCCGGAGGAAAACATGTATCAGCTCAGTATACACATTATCGCATATACTGTACATTCATGCTGGTACATGCTGGTCTTGCAAAGCTCTTTAAACAAGACAATGTGACTGAATGTTTATAAATTGTGTTTTTTCCTCATGTCTAAAATGCATCACTTTCTTTGTGTCATACAAAACTGATCCAGCTGCCCTTTACTCTGTGATATTTCTTTGAATACAAGGCAGTGAGGTTCATGCATCCCTCTGCCTTAAAGTGGAATTACAATAAGGGAAGCTGCTGAGAGTGCTGCTGCTGCTGAGGCTGCTTGTGGCATAGTGACACCCATTTGAGCCGGAAAATCAGCAGGAACAGGAGCTGTGAACCGTGATGTGGGGTCAGGGTGAGATGACTTGTGTGTTACAGTGCATGCTCTTGCCATGCCTTGCAAAGTGGCAGCTCAGCTACATGACAGGAGCCCTTTCTTTAATGTGCTCCCCCAGGTTTACAGCAGTCTGGTTTAGTGTAATTTAAATCTAACACTTTGAAAAAGGGCTACAGTCGAAGTGAATTTTTGATCGTACATGTAAAATCCACACCTGTGTACACCCTAAAGCAAATTACTGGACTTAAGGGTACGTATAATTTTAAGGTCTTTCAACATCTGGTCTGTGTTTGGCCTAATGTAAACCAAAATTCTGTAAAACTTCTAGTCTTGGATTTTAAGATGCATAAAAACATTTAATACAACTGACAAGTTTAATTCTTTATCAGTCTGAACCGTCCACTCATATCTGAGCTCACTGACTTCATAGTGTCTTAGATTCAGCTTTTTAAATCATATTCTTTTAGTTCATTTAGACTTTTATTTACTGAACTCTTTTTTGTTTTATTTAACTTTTTTCTGTTTAATTATGCTACTTCTATTTTGACTTATTTAGCTTTTTTGTCTTGTTACATTGTATTTTATTTTATTGAGCTATTCTACTTTATTTGAACAGTTTTAAATAGTTTTTGGTTAAAATTCCAGACGATGTAACACGAGAATATCCCAACTTTTGGATAGATAACGTATCTTATCCAGATTTTTCAAGGTCCTTTAAAGTCCTGTCTAGGGTAAAAGAGAAGTACCTTAGAGGGTACAGCCCAAATGCATCTCTAAAGATACAATAATGTACTTTATTTTCTCAGAGTGTGCAATCTTACATGAATCAGTAGAATTCTGGTACAAATTTGCTAAAACTAAATTTGATCCTAACCTTCTTTGCTCAAAATCACCAAAAGGAATACATGGCTCAGTTACAAAGTGCAGTTTTCCTACTGCCTAAACACAAGAACGTTGTATCTGTGTGTGTTTTGTAAGTGGCTACAGTAAAAGAGGATGCAGCTCCATGTTGTGTAAGCTGTCCTTGACAGACTTCTCTGCAGTCCTGTTATAAGCAGATGGAGGAGGATTCAATGAAAGCTTTGTTAAACCACTGAGGCTGTGAGGGCATTACCTTATCACACTGTGGAACGGTTATATAGTCACAAAGATTGGGTTACATGAACTGCAACATGAGGACGCTCACTTTTCATTATTACAGTTTGAAATCAGTTGATATTTTCAAGGGGTTTTCCTTAGCTGAAGCACGTGACATGACATTTAAATTCATGGTTTTCTTATCTGACATTTGCCTGAATACAAACACATAATAAGTTAGGGAAGGCCTAAACCACAATTTAACCAAAAGTGAGTGCATAGTGGCCTAAAATCTCAGGAAGTATGTCTTTAAGTTGCTGTAATCTGAATGAATATGAAACTCACAGCTGTTTGAAGCAGGAGCAAAATAATGTCACTGTCAGTTAGAAAGAAAGAAAGAAAGAAAGAAAGAAAGAAAGAAAGAAAGAAAGAAAGAAAGAAAGAAAGAAAGAAAGAAAGAAAGAAAGAAAGAAAG